CAGTAGCCAGTAGAAACCGGATATTGGTGGAAGTCAGCCTTTCTGGTGTCCCTCTTGAGTGTTTAACCTCCCCAGTGTCCTTTCCAATGTGGCTGAGTGGCTTGGATGCCTTCTAGTCACTGTACCCCTAACCCCCATCCTGCACTGAATAGCAACGCGCCCTCGGCTCTGTGCACCAGGCTGCGTCGTGGGCTGAACGGTGGCCTCCAAAAGCACCAAGTCCTGATCCCTGGAACCTGTTGACCTCACGTGCTGCCAGTTTCACGGGGGTGATTGTGTTAAGGATCTCAAGATGCAGAGATTTTCTCCGATTATCCAAGTGGGCCCTGAAAGCCATCTCAGCGTGCTCATAAGTTGACGCAGGTGGACCTCGGCCACAGGAGGCAATGTGGAGTCGGAGGCACAGACTGCAGTGATGCATGCCAAGGACTGCCTGGGGCCACCAGTGATGCCAGCAGGGGTGAGGGATGGCTTCTGCCCGAGTCACTGCTGACACAGTGGTCTGAGTCCCACGAAACCGAATTTGGACTTCTGATCTCCAGAAGTACGAGAATAAAGGTCTGTTGTTTTAAGCCGCCGCGCTTGTGGCGGTCTTTTACGGCAGCCACGGGAAAGTCCCATGCCCACCCTGAAAACATCACGGTTGGTCCTTCTGGCAGTCCCCAGCCCTTCCAACAGTGTGGCGCCTCAGAGCGCACGGGGCAGTGAGGAGCGACGGGGCCCACCACAAAGGGCGTGCCAGCTGGCCAAGATGCTGGGCAAAGGAGAGCCTTGAAGCGGGAGAGGAACTCGACCCGGTTCTCAGTAGGAAGCCCACTGGCTCCGAAGGGTTGATAAGCAGGTAAGCGCGGAAGCCATTTTCAGGGGGCTGTGGTTGTCCAGGTTGGTGGCACAGAGCAGGCGGGGGGCAGGACAGTGGAGAGAAATGGGCAGACTTGAGGATTAACTTAGGAGAAAAGGTACCTGCACTGGGCCATGGACTGAGTGGGTTTGGGGGCAGGTAGAGGGCTTTCCTGACTTTACGGCGGGCTCTGCGCCTTCGGATGGGGGAGCAGCCAGGGAAACCCCTGGCCTTACAAACCTCCCAGCCTGGTGGGAGTACGCAGGGAGCCGATGGCTGATACTCCAGGGCTGTGTGCAATGGCAGTGTATGCTCACCCCCTCCAACCACACACGCACACACCCAGCCCCTCCCGCACCCAGCTCCCACACCCCCAGCCCCCCCACATACCCAGCCCCCGCACAGCCCCACACACACCCAGCTCCCACACCCCCAGCCCTCCCACAGCCCCTCCCACACCCAGCTCCCACACCCCAGCCCCCCCACATACCCAGCCCCCGCACAGCCCCACACACACCCAGCTCCCACACCCCCAGCACCCCACACATACCCAGTCCCCCCACATCCAGCCCCCACTCTTGACTGTTGACTTGTCCTGGGAAAAGAACAGCAAAAGAGGGGACTCCCCTGTCCCCTGGGCCCCTCTGTGAGGAGACCAGGGTTGGGGGAGGCAGAGTATAAGATCAACACTTGCCATCCCGGCTTAGATACTCTGGATCTTAACACACTGACTGAACTTGGAAAGCTTAAGGTGAAGGTTCTGAAGGCTCCGAGGTTTAAAAAGGACACTTCCTCTCTGTCTATTCCAAATGTCCTGACCTGAAACCAGCAGTACTTCTCCTGCGGATAAGACCCAGAAGGCTGTTTGAATCCTGTCAAGGGCTGAGAAGAGGCTATTTCTTTTTCCTTTCAGATTTTATTTATTTATTTATTAGAGAGAGTAAGAGAAGAATGAGGGAGAGAAACATCAATGTGTGGGTGCCTCTTGCGCGCCGCCTACTGGGGACCTGGCCCGCAACCCAGGCATGTGCCCTGACTGGGAATCGAACCAGCGACCCTTTGGTTCGCAGGCTGGCACTCAACCACCAAGCCACACCAGCTGGGGTGGAAGAGGCCATTTCTTGATTGCCTGAGTCCAAGCTGCGTGCCAGCCAGTCTCCCCTGCCCCGCTGTCCTCATCAGCCAGGTCCAGTACACCCGGGGAAGGGCCCAGGGCCCTGACCATGGGACTGCGTAGTAAGACCTCCTGGGCAGGGGGTGGGTGACTCAAGCCACCTCCCGTGTGTGCTGGCAAGAAGGCACTTTGATCTGAATGCACGTCCTTCGTCGCCAGCCCGACCCCACTGGCTCCTGTGGCAACAGGGCCATGTGGGCTCTGGCGTCAGAGACCTGGGCTCCGCTCACAGCTCTGCGACTTACTGCTATGGAAACGGATCCAAGTCCCCTTATTTCTCTGAAACTCAGTGTCAGCGTCATTAGAGTGGAGAGGAAAACGTGGTGTATTTAAAGGCATGGCGTGCTGTGGACCCTCTGGAAATGGGGAGTTCGGTGTGAGTGTGCCGAGAAGGCCGGCGGCCTCCCCAGGGGGCCCCTGTGCGGGAGCCCCTCTGCGTGCCCCGGAGAGTGAGGCCGGCAGCACGTCTAGAGCCTAAGACCGCTGAGCTGTTAGCTTGGGTGCCTGGTTTCTGATCCCGGCCGGCTGAGTCCTCCAGCCAGCGCTGGCTCTGAGCCTGTTTTCTCATGGCAAATGTGTGTGGCCGCCCCTACGCACCCCAGTGTGGCTGTAAGGATCCATGGGGTAATCATGGATGTGAAGGAATCCTAGTGTGCACAGCGCTGTCTGGACTTGGGGAGGAAGCCCCCTCACCTGGAATCGGGGTGGCTGAGGCATCGGAAGTGTGGGGACATGCGGGAGGAGGAGGCGATCAGAATTGGGCCCCGGTGTGTGCGCCTGGGGAGGAGGCAGAAAGTAGATCAGTCTGCGCGCGCCTCCTGCCACCCGACGCTGCAATCTGCCCGAGCATCCTCGCTGCCATCTGTCAGCAGTGCGGGAGTGTGTGGCCCTGTTCTGCGCCGTCCCGTGTTTACATCTGGTGAGCGGAGCCAGCTGGGTGGGGGGGTGAATGTTTCGGAGCGGGTGCTGGCAGCAGGCATGATGGTCCTTAAAAACGGCACCTTGTGCTTAGCCTTTGCTTCTCAGATTCACATTTTTCAAACATGCCTGGAGCGTATCCAGTCCGCCCAGAATTTGACCTATTATTCTAACCCCACTTTGAGTCTGACAGTAGACACTGGGCTCATTTTATAGATGAAGCTCACACAATGGATTAGGACTTTTTGGTGGCAAGGGACAGGAACCACGCCTTGAACTTGGTTTAAGAATAAAAGGGGAGCTTACTGGCTCATGTACCGAAGTCCAGAGGAGGAGCCGGGTCCATGGAAAGCTACAGTTAGGGCTCAGAGGGTCTCCACAGGGTGGGACCTGTTTTTTCTCTGTGGGTTTCACTCACAGGTTTTCTTTACACTAGGTTCCCCCCACCAACCCCATGAAAAATTGCCTCTTTCTCAATGGTCCCAGAAAAATAATTTGGATCACATGCCCAGCCCTGGCCCAATCTCAGTGGCCAGAAATTTGGAAGGCTCTGATTGGTCAGTTCTGGATACTAAGTGCAGCCCTCACCCAATCCCTAAGTGGCCAGGTGTTTGGAAGGCTCTGATTGGTCAGGTCTGGACCATCAACAAAGCCCTGCAGCTGGGGCTGGGTCCAGTCCTGGAAACCCAAGGACCGAGACTAGGACGTCGTGGCTTTGCAAGAGGCTCATCAGGTACCAGTGGAGAAGCCTGTTAGAAACACAGACTGTCCCCTGGAGACCAGGGTTAAGTGGCCGGCCCATCATGACATGGGGGCACAGCCCAGACTTGAATCTCAAACAGGCTGGTTTCAAAGGCTTTGCTATTCTTGCTATTCAGGGCAGTGACCCTCAGTTCCAGCCACACACGGGGGTCGGGGTGGGGAAGGGGTTGAAACAAATACTGGGACCTGGACCCTGCCCCCTGCCCCCTGCCCCCTGCCCCGAGAAATGAGATGCTCTGGGGGTGGGGCTGGGGCCTCAGTATTTCCCAGAACTCCCCAGGTGGACTGTACCATGCGAAGTCCGGAACTAGTGCATGAGGAGTGTCTTGCCTCCCCTCCGGAAGCTGTAAGGTACTTGATGTTCCGAGTGTGGTCACTGTCACCGAAGGGCTCGGAACCCAGACTGTCTAGGTGGGTCTGGGGGACGAGGAGTCGGGGAGAGCTGGGAGGCAGCCTTGAGCAGCTGGCCCTGGAGCTGAGGCGGGCGGTTTCCAGGCAGAGGCAGGGCTTCTCGTCTCAGCTGGGCGGGCCTGCTGGCCCCCTTGGCCGCCCTGAGCATCCTGAGCTAAACCATATACATTACCTTAGCGATGGAGTCCCTGGCAAGGCACACTCCAGGAGTGGGAAATGGCGCGGTCCCCAGCGAGGGGAGCTCTTGCCTGGTTTGCTCTGGGCTGCGGGCTGGAAGGAGGCTTGCGTGAGAAAGCACCTGGGTTCCAGGCCACCAGCGCCACCTGTCCCTCTTCCAGGACAAAGGGAAACGGTTCAAAACGTAGCTCCTGAGGAACCTGCCTCTCTGCCTGTCGTCAGCCACAGCTCACAGAAGGGGGCCGCTGGCTCACTGGCCACCGCTACCCCAACGGCATGTGTATCCATCGCTTCCTCACCCACCCTCCTCCTCACCCGCTTCTCTGTAGCTGCCCAGAACACGGCTGTGGCGGGAGGGAACCGGCGTCGTGGCTTTCTGTGGTGGAGCAAGCTGAGGCTGCCGGAGGCTCCGGGACTTGCTGGAGGGCACACGGGAATGGGCGCCTGGCACTGAGCCCCGAGTCCTCAGCCAAAGTGCCTGTTCTCTGCCGGCCCGACACTGGCAAACCCCTAACGTTCTGTGGATGTGTTCCCGTCTCCTCCACCCCACACCCAGTATTTTAGGACCCTTTGCTTCGCTCACTGGGTCACCTTCAGGGTGCCGCCTCCTGCTGTGACATGATCCAACCCCGAGAGCCTCCGGCTCATGTGTGCCCCACTCAGGGCTCCTGCCCAAGTCACGCCTCCTTCCCCACAGACGACTTGACCGCTTCGCTCTGGGTTTCGGCAAGATCCTTTATTGGCCTCCTGTTCCCCAACCACGTCACGTGAGCGCAGGGGCCGCGTGAGCGCCTGCGCGGGCTGTTGGCTTTGTAAACGTAGAGCAGTCGGTATGTACAGAAATCATGCACCTCGGTGGTTCTTGAACAAATACTAATGCATAGAAAGACTCCAGGCGTTTTTGAAATGTCTGCCCTTTCCTGCGTTCTAATCACCGAAAAATACGTTTTCTTTGCACCCCGGCTAGTAACTGCCCAGTGCGTCTTAGGCCGTGTCTCCTTCTGACGGCCGCTCCTCACAGAAGCTGCCGGCTTCTGTTCGGAGAGACACTGGGCCCGCACACGAGACCTGCCCGCACGCCACACCCCCGATGGCTGCATCGGCCTGACACTGACACCAAGCATCACTCAGCTCAGCGTCTCCTGCCCTGCCACACAACGGCTAACAGGGAGCTGCTTCCAGACTTAGTGCCTCGCACTGGCCGTGCCCTTCCCTGGAGACCAAAGGCCAGCTCCGGGACTCTGGGTCCTTCACATTTGTAGGTCTTCCCAGTGTCCTCGCTCACACATTCACTTAGGTGGCCGTCGCTTAGCACACCCCTTGTGCGGTGACAAGGACACGGGGCTGACTCACTGTCTGAGTCCAGCAGTTGAACATTTATGTACAGACAAATAAATGGAAAATCATAGGCAATGGAACTCCAAAACAAAACACTTTGGTCATATCTACGATTCCAGTTTTGCCAGAGAATGGCTTTCCAGAACGTCACTAGGTGAGGGAGGTCTTACCCCGCCACGGCTCCAGTGGGCCAGCCTGGTGATGTCCAGGTTCGTCATCCAGATGGCTAACACGGGGAGTGGTCCCGGCCCGGTGTGGCAGTAGGGCTTCTGTAGGCAGTGAGGTAAGTGGAGGACGCGTCCTGCAGCTGACCCGTGGGCGCCCCGGCTGGGCTCTCGAGGACACCAGCCTCAGCTCTGAAGGGGACAAATGTCACAAAAGAGCCTCCAGTCCCAGCAGCCGACCACTCTCTGCCATCGGAGGCCTGACAGGGTTTTGGGTGGGGCGAGCAGAGGGTGACATTTCTCCAGGCTGTGACCCTGGGCACCGCCCCTGACCGTGTCCATCCTGCCCACGAAGCCAGCCAGGTGCAGGGGCTGCAGACTCCCCGCTGCCGGTGGGGGGGGGGGGGCTGAGGGTCCCCGTGGGACTGTGACAGCGGCAGAGGCCGAGTTCTCCAGTGCCCCGCGTGCAGTGTTTTGTCTTCAAGGTTTTCTTTTTAGGTGACCACAAGAAGTTGTATGTTGTTACGTTCAGACAAGTAACCGCTTGATTACTCTATTTCAGAGGAATGATACGCCACATAGCCACGGACACAGACAACACGGGCACCAAGCCTCCGGCCACAGAGCAAAGTAACGCGCCAGTAGGCAGAAAGGAACCACAGAAGCAAATGAATGGAAGGAAAAAAAAATGAAGGAAATACAGGCTGGAAACTGCCCACTAGTGATAACAAAAGGAAAGAGGGGCCCAACGTGGTGGGAAAATCCCAAGAAAGAGCTTTCTGTGGAGGCAGGTTCTGAGTGTGGCATCGTGACGCGGTGGGCGCTGGGCCGCGCCACGGTCCGTGCGGGTGCGCCCGGGCCGCTCGCTGAGCCGGAAACAGGAGCGGGGCTCACCGGCCCGGAGCGAAGATGAAGTCCAGGGCCTGCCGTTCGGCCGCGGCCACGTTCGGATGCCAGAGATCCACCATGAACACTACCCTGGGGCCATCCTCCGCCGAACCTGCGGTGGGGGCGAGAGAGGAGAGGGTCAAGCAGCCCGCAGCCCGAGCCCGCGCAGAGCCGGCGCCCACGCGGTGCGCTTTCAGCAAGACCGGAAGGTCTCCGGCTCTCCGACCAGAACCATCAGAACCGCGGCTGCGGTTTCCTCGGGCTCTGGGCAGAGTGCATCGGGAACAGGCCCAGGGACGGGGGTGCGTGGCGGGAGCACAGGGTGTCTGGGGCGGCGGAGCTATTCCGGTGATTATGTCGCAGTGCGTGTCTGTGCCCGTGCATCTCTCAAAACCCACCGAGTGTGCCACACAGAGTGAACCCCCATGTGAACGACTGACTTTAGGTAACAAATGTACTAATACCGCCGCGTCGGTATTAGCTCGTCAGGGATAACAAACGTACTACACGAAAGCAAGATGTTAATAAAAGGGGGATTGTGTATGGGGAGGGGTGCGGTGTGGACTTTCTGCCCAATTTTTCTGTAAACCAAGAACGGCTCTTAAAACAAAGTTCTCGTTCGGGAAGCGGCGTGGGGAAGGCAGACACTCACCGCCGTGGAGCGCCGTGTGGAGGAAAGAGTCGTCGAAGAGAAGACAGCGGCCTTCCGCCCAGCACTGGGGCTCCCCGCCCACCACCAGCTCACAGCCACTCGGCGTCTTCAGACCTGGGGGGCGGGAGGAGGGAAGACAGCCGGGTGAGGGCGGGCGGTGGCCCGGGCGTGGCCGGGAGTCGGGGCGTGGCCGGGAGTCGGGGCGTGGCCGGAAGTCGGGGGGAGGGCTGCTCCGGGGCCGGCCTCGGCTTCTGATTTTACCCTCGCTCCCGGGGCGGGGTCCCTGCTTAGAGTGAGAGGTAGTTCAACAGGGCAAACACAGGCTGAGCGCCTGGATCCTCACCACATTCCTCGGAAAAACTCACTCCTCCACCGGCTTAATCCCGCGATTTTCAACCTTCCTCATCTCATGGAACACACAAACTAATTGGTAATATTCTGTGGTACACCAAAAAATAATGTTTTTGGCGATCCGACAACAGAATAGGTATCATTTTGATTCATTCCCTCCGACGGATGGATAGTGAGATCACTGTTGTCATTTTTGAATCTGACAGTCGAAGGGAAGAGAGGTCAGTGCCCCGACTAAGCAGCCAGGTGCTGCATGATTCGGACATCCGTGCGGCTCACCAGTGGGAAACTGCTGGCTTCCTCTTTCAGGGTCACGGACTCTTCTGATGAAAGCCAGCAGCCAGGGCTAGCCTACGCTTCTAAGACTCCTGGAGCCCCCAGCACAGCCCCGGAAACGGAGGGAGCCAGGTTCAGAACCCCGCCCCTCCATAACCGTGTCGCCCGCAGTCCCGACTCTAGGGCTGCTTCAGGTGGCAGCGAAGACGCAGAGGCTCACTCAGTGCCCTCCTCTTTGGGTTCCAACCCTCCACTCCATTTTCAGGCCCGAGGATGGCGTGTTCCTGACCCGAGTTTCCCTGGCCACGCTCCGGGGAGCTGGAGGCCACCCCGAGGAAAAGGCCTGAGCTCCGAGCGGCTGCAGAACGGCACCTTCGTGAGGAGCCACATGCTCAGAACGCTCGTGGGGAGTGCTGTGCCGGGGTGCCTGACCCTGGGGGGGGGGGCTTCTGGTTGAACCTCAGCCGTGTGTGCACTCCCACGCCCCCGTCTCCAAGCCATCCACTGGAGGGAACACTGGCCCCGTCACTGATGCTCAGGGAAGAGGCTGGGTCAGCCTGACGACTGCCCGGGAGGACTCAGCCCGGATGAAGTGGCCCCGGAAGAGGGGCTGGGATTGTGGTATTCTCTGTCCTTGGTGGCTGACTGTGACAGCCACGGCCTTGGGCCAGTCGACATTCCCCTGGGGCCTGATGTCCCCTGGGACAAACATGAAACAGACTCTCCCTGACAAGCAGCGTGTTCGCATGCACCCCCGGAGCCAGCGGATGTGCCAGCGGATACGGGATACAGGAAGATAATGGACCTGCTGCCTGTCCCTCTTTAGTCCCTTAGCTGGGACTTGAACCCAAACCTCTCTGGCTCCAAAGAACACGCTCTTAGGACACTGGACACCATGATATAAGCGCCAGTTACTCCGTTAGCAGCAGGGGTAGTAAAAGGATTGTTGATTTTCCTGCAGCTAATACAAGTTTCAACCCCAACAGGACATCTCACTGAATCGGCCGAGACTGTCCACTCCAGCTCTGAAGCCACCATCGCCGGCCAGTGTTGACCACAGCTGGGGGTGAGGGCAGGGAAGGGGTTGGGCTGCCGCTCACCGCTGGGATGGGGAGGGCCCCATCGACCACGCCCTCCTCTCGAGTGTGCCCTCCCTGGTTGGCGCAGGCAGAGAAGGCCTTCAGGAACAGCTGTTCTCTGCAGGGGCAGTCTGCTCGGGGGTCAGAAAAGCTCCCCTGTCTCTGTGACACATGAAACATGATACATGATGGGCTGCCACACACCTCAGGACAACAGGAACATGGCCTGGCTTGCCGGCTTGCCCGCCCCGCCTCCTTTCCCCTGCTTCCCCCCTTCTGTTCCCGCCTCCCAGTAGCCCACCATTCATTCCTGCCACCTGCCCACAAACCAGGTTAGTTGTCTGAAGTCACTGCTACTCCCCCAAACAGAGACTTCAGGGGGCTCCTGGGGACAGAGACAGGCCCCACACATGGCCCTGGCCTGTCCCATATGCCCAGGCCCTCTCTGGCATAGAGCTTGCTGCTCTGTCCCCCCAGACACTGCGGAAGGCAGGGGAAGGGTGGAGAAAAGACTGGCCACCAGTGGCCCCACTTCAGGAGGCTGGCGGCTGGCACTCAGGGTGGGCGAGGCAAACACGAACTCGTCTGCTGGTACCAGGGAGCTAGCTCCGCAGCCCAGAAATCCAACAGCATACATGTGAGAGGGAAATGAGAGGCGAACTGTGCTTATTTAGTGAGGCTTTGCTGCACACGCTCCTGCATGTCAACCACCCTTTCCCGAGGGCTGGCCACTGGGTGGGTACTGGTCTCCCCAGGGACACCTGCCTGACAATCGTGCTTCCTGGAGGTTTGGGGGTGTGGTCGGGATGTCCTAGCCCCCTGCACCATGCAGGGTGGTGGCTGAGCTGGACTGTCCTGGGGTTCTGCGGGAACTGAGACCGAGTGACGCCACCTCTAAAGGTAGCTCAGAACAGGGCTCAGCAAATGCGTGCCCCGTGAGCAGCACCTGGAGGGACAGGGCCATCAGCCACAACTCAGACAGAAGGCAGAAGAGGAGGACAAGGGCTGGCATCTTAAGAGCACCGTTCTGGAACCACAGGCACCTCCTCCACCCTCAGCCCGAAAGCTGGCAGAGGTGTGGCCTCCAGGCACGCACCGGGCTCGCCCTGCTCCTCACCTCGTTTCCTGGACCTCCCTCTGTCAACACGCAAGGTCACGTGAATTGAACACACCTTTATTACCTCCGGGGTGGGGCACGGCACGGAAAGAAGGGAACGGTGAGCAAAGCCAACCACGGAGCGTGGCCTGGCCACAGGGACTAGCCACACCCCAGGGGGCCGTCCTCCAAGGTGTGCTGCTGTCCGGGGACCCGACCTGGCTCACTTCCCCTGGCGGCCGAGGGAATGACGGGTCACAAAGAGGAGCCGCATGGGTGTGACTCACATGCACACGAGTCGACCGCAAAACGAGTCGCCCACGAGGGCGCACGAAAGGCATGAACGCACAGGGGGCAAAGTTAGGGTGTTCGTGCCACCAGCCCTTCCGACTCCACACACCTGCCTGGAGTTCTACCACACCCATCCTCCAACGTCCTTCCCTACGTTGTTGTGAAGTTTTTAGAAAACAGAAAAGGAAACCCTTTATTTAAAAAACAAGCAAAAAAATCCCCAGCATTGCTCCCCATCGCCCACAGCCTGAAGATGGAAGCCTGAGGGGGGCCCTCGCTGGTCCACTCCCACCTGGCCTCTGCGAGCTCAGTCTCCCCCACTGGACGCCCCAGGAGGCCCAGACGTGGCTCCCCCGACAACCAAAGGGAGGCCTTCTCCCCAGCTCCACCCCAGGGGTCCCAGGGACCCTTTAAGGTCAGACTGCCTCCCCTGAGCTGCCCACCTTCAGCCCTCTCGTTCTCTGACCTCGGAGCGTGCCCCAGTGCCTCCCACCGCGACGTTACTGCTCACGTTCATCACGTGATCATCTCTCCTCTTGGGTCAGTCGGAGTCACCGTTACCTGACCGCTGCCCACCGGCCACCTGTTCCGCAGACAGCACTTCTAACCCTCCAACCAGCCCTCCAGGGCGGGGACTCTGCCTCCACTGGAGAGAGGAGCAGGCCGCTGCTCAGGGAGGTTCAGGGTCGAGCCCGAGGCCGCTCAGTGCACGGGACTGCCAGGTCCGAGTACAGGTGTGTTTGCTTCCAGAGTCTGTCCACTTCCCACCGCTCCCGAGGGCAGAGCCCGGTCTTGGGGGTTCTGTATTACACTGTCCGGCATGGTGTTTGATCCGCAAGGCTACTAACAACTGTTGATTGAATGCTGCCACGTGCTGGGCACCACGGCACGTGGCCACAGAACAGAGTACTTTATTTAAGCCTCTAAGGATCCTGTGAGATAACGGCTACCTTCCCATTATACAGACGAGGAAACTGAGGCACAGAGACACTCAGTCACTTGCCCAAAGTGACCCAGCTGACCACGAAGCCAGGCCACCTGCTCCAGAGCCTCCACCCTGTCCCGCCTCTCCGCTCAAACACTCAGCGTGTCAACTGCTCTAATCTCGTCCCTTTTGCTGTTTAAAGCAGTGAAGCCCTCAGTGGAAACTGAACTTTATTCAGGATCCCCAGAGTGAGAACAGGAGGAGCAGAGGGCTCTGGGCGAAGCAGGGTCAAACCCAGGCTCCCCCAGGCAGCCCCGAGGCCCCTCTGCAGAACTGGTTGGGGACCCCCGCTCTGGACTGCAGGAGCTCATCGGGGGTTCCCTCCCTCCACCCTGATGCCGAGGCAGTGCCGCCAACTTCCCAGAGCCTCGCCGAGGCTCCCGGTACCCTCCTCTAGTCTGGGATGCCAACCGTGGCGCCAGCGTCCTGGTAACCAAGCCACTGTCACGACTCACCAGGAACGAAGGCGGCATTCTGGGGGCTAATACCCCCATTTACCACACTGTTTTCTAGCCCACTTCGACTAAGTACTCTCTCTCCGTCACGCTCTGTGGGCACAAATGCTTTACAATACACATTCTCTGCCAATGATGATCTTTTCCCTCCACTTTCCAAACGAGGAAACTCAGGCTCAGAGCGGTGCAGCGCCCTGCCCGTTACACCGCCAGCCCGTGGAGGGGCCAGGACGCGCACACGGGCAGTCTGACCAACCCTGCTCTCAACACCACCGAGATGCGCACTGTGCACGCTCCACCCTTTCCCGGGAATCTGGGTAAAATCGCCGCCAAGCACCACCTCCTCTCTGCAAATTCAGAAGGCGCTGGGCCTCCTGACGTCACCACGAGCCTCAGCGATCACCGCAACAGCCTTTGGCTCTGCAGCTCCCTGCGCCCCACAGCGGCCACTAGCCATGTGTGGCCACTGAGATTTCAACTTAGAGGAAGTTAAAACGGACCCTTCAGGGGCACCAGTCACATGCCAAGCACTCAACAGTCCCGGGGGCGAGCGGCCGCCACGTCAGTGCGCACGGGGACCGTTTCTGCCACTGCGGAAAGCTCCTTCGGGTGCGGCCTCTGCCAGAAACTAGGTTCCTACTGACCACCAGGGTCTTCTCTGACCCAGTCCCTGCCGGCGGAACGGTGTACAAGTGACTCGCCATTGGGTGATGGAAGTGCAGTGAGGAGTGTGAGGGAAGCACACTCCTGGCGACTGAGCTGGCAGCCAGGCCAACTCCGCCCAGGAGGGTGCGTGTCGGGAGACCCGCCCTGCGACCTACCTAAGTGGCACCGGATGCGGATGTTGGTGGGCCCGTAGTGCTCCGTGATCACAGTCCCGGGGCTCAGCACGGAGATGCATGCGTTCCCAAACACATTGTTCCCGATACAGGTCCGAAGGCTTCCGAGCAAGCGGTACGTCCGTGGGCACTTCCTGCAGTTCCTGGGGACGCAAACCCCCTGGTTGACCAGGTAGAAGGTGACCCACTCCCCGCTGGGCGTGCTGTTCATCTTCCAGCCCTGAGGCAGGCTGCAGTTCGAGAAGGCCTTGTACAGGGCCTCGAACTCGCACAGGATGGTCTGGAAGTTCCGCTCCAGCAGCTCCACATCGTGCTTCTGCGCGTCCCGGGGGAAGTAGGGCGTGGTGGGCAGGTCGGGCAGGAAGAAGACCTCGGGCTTCTGGATGGAGGGCCGGCTGTTGAGGTAGCGGCCCTGCTCGCGGATGCCCTTGTGGATGCGGCCCATGCCGGACCAGGAGTAGCGCTTGGCGTACTCCTGCAGGTTGTGGTAGAGTTTCTGGTTGAGGCCCTCGTTGTGGGTGCAGCGCACGCACTCGGGGGACTGGCAGTACACGTACCCGTTCTGCAGCCCGTCGGCGTCCGCGCCCTGCATGAGGGCGTTGACGGAGACGTAGGGCCGGGGCTGCTCCCGGCCCACGCGGTAGCAGTACCACACGAACAGGACCAGCAGGCCGGCCACCGTGGCCACGGCAGTGGTGTCGCAGTCCCTCACGGACTGGATGCCCGTGGCGATGCAGTCCCGCAGGCCGTCCAGCGACCAGCTCCAGGCCAACAGCCACTCGAGCGACATCTTCGGGGGGTTGTTGTTGAGGGCGTGAAGCAAGGTCAGACAGACAGTCAGTCCTCTGGGGTCCCAGGGGCGCCCACACGGTGCAGGTTAGCGGGGGGCAGCGGGGGCGGGGGGAGGCATGGCCGCCCCGGTTCCTCGGGTCCTGCCAGCGGCTGCATCGACGAACACCGAGGCCACCCGTGCGCACCGCTCCTCTCCAGGCAAAAGTCACTGTGGGGAGAGTGCAAGGAGCCGCCTCATGTCACAGCAGCAAGCGGTGCCGGTCCCTGTGAAATGATTCTCCAGGAAGTCCAACCCTGGGATAAAAAGAAAAAACAAACAGCATGAATCTTTTTACATCTGGAAAAGTCCTCAACTGAAACATAAAGTCACAGATGGTTCTGTAAGGTCCTTGTTGGCAGGGCACACCCTTCTCCGGCTTGTGTATTCTCCCCCCATTTTACCGCCACCCCCATTTCCCAAAACCAGCAGGGTTTCATCGGCATCAAGCACTCTCTGACGATTACCCTAACCCCACCCATATTCTCCCCCTTGGAGGTGCTATAGTGCCCACTTTGCAGATGAGGAAACCGAGGCTCAGAGAGGTTCCCTCACTCCCCCAAGTTCATGCAGCCACGGCAGGGACACAACCCCCATCTGCCCTCAGCGTGATACCTATCCATTCTGCTATGCTCTTTCGTGGCAGGCACGTAACAAATGCTTCTTCTCCTTCACTCTCTGTGCCCTTTCAGAGACATGGATTCAAAAGCACTTTAAAAGTGGCACAGGCACTTTAAAACTGCACATTCTCCATTAACTGTCCGTTTTCACAGCGCTCCATCATCCTTACTCTCTCTTGCCCTCCTGACATGGGTCGGGCTTACATCCAACCGGAAAAGGAAGTGGGCCCTCTGTGGTCACAGCCCTGCCAGACACAGGGACACTCCTGTCTGCCCACTCGGGAGACGACTCCCTTGGCCTCACCCACGAGGTTGTGAAAGTGACACGATGAGACAGAATGGAAATAAAAGCCCTTTCGGGTCTCTGACTGTCTCCAAACCAGACAAAAGGGGCTGCACCACCGCGTGTTTTACTGACGGCTGGGGCCCTGATTAACCTAAAAGTACTGTGTGAGCAGAGCCCCGCTGGCAGGCTGCCCGGGTCTATAAACTCCCGCCACGTCCCCCAGCTGAAACCCTCTGTGCATCCTGCTTCTTCTAATCTGATGACAACAGCCAGGTCCACGTTCTATTACAAGTCTAATGCATTCCTGCCATGTAGCAGAGAGATTAAGAACCCACACTGGAGACGGGCTGGGCGGAGTATCAATCCCACCCCTGGCCAGGTTGCTCCCCGCTCTGAGTCTCAGGATGGGGGACGCTCGTCTCACTGACTGGAGGCGAAGGATGGACGTCGGGCCCTCACGGTCACAGTAAGCACTCGGTATGCACTGGTGACTGCTACAACATGTGGCATCCCACCCCCTGGCTGATTAGCCAGCAAACCAAAGTGGGGGCCATCAGGGAAAGGTATCTCAGGACTGAAAATGCCAACAGCCAAAGGAAGAGTCGAGACACTCTTGCTGCCACACACCTCGAGGGATGTTTTTTGGTCCCCAACGTGCAAAGCCGAAAACTGAAACGGATACCTTAGGTGATTGCTAGCTGCCTCTCTGCATCTTCCCAGCTTAGGCCGAATAAAGAATCGCTCTACTAATGTGTTTAGTAAGTCTGAAACCCACATGCTCAATATCCGTGTATGTTTTTCCTGTTTCTAGGAAAAATACAAGAGTGGGGAGGTCAGATGCTAAATTGTCTTCTCACATGTTCTCAACTTCTTCCCAGATTTGGGAGAAGAGGGAAGGGCTGGGCCCCCCAGGATGGGTACAGACCCCTCTGGGCCCTGGGTTCTCTCTTCGCCCTGCCATACGTCACTGGCAGCTGTTTCCTCTTGAGAAGGGAAGAAAAACCTGAACGCAAGGTGAACTGTTTGCGAGCCATCTCCCCAAGAGAGCCCCGGGCTTCCTGGGCTTCAGTGTGAAACTACCACCTGCGCACTAACAAGCCCGCTCGCTCGTGCTGAAAGGGTCCCCCCAACACTGAGCTAAACTCCGAACTGGAATTAAACTCCCTCTCTCAGGAAGCGAGGCTTCCTTAAATGTTCTAACAGTGAGATGGTGATAATGTGACAAACACCTGTGAAGTGTTAGTTCCCATCAGCCCTGCTACTCCAAGGAGAGTTTTCAGTCCACCAAAATGAAGACACGGAGGGCAGGGTAGACGGTGAAGGGGTCGCTCCGAGGAACACCCTGCAGCTTACTCCCCGCCCCCCCACCGGAAGCGTCATTCTGCACAGTGACAGCCACCAGTGCGCCCTAGACCGAGCTATAAACAAAAGGCAGCAAGAGATCCTGACGCCCTGAGCTCCAGGTTCCGACGCTTGTTCAAAGACCAAAAACGGCACTGAGGGCTGAAGTGAGGACTTTCCAGACCTGTCAGTCACTTTTAGTCCAAATGCACAGGCAGGCCCCTGAGCCCAGAGGCCAGTTAGCGGGCTCACGGCTGAAATATGACACTAAAAGCAGCCCTTACGTTTTCAGGGTGATTGGCAGCTTATCAAACACTGCTTCAAACATTTGATCCCGCTGCACCCGGTGACAGCCCCCCCCCATCTCCCCAGTGGGGAGGGCATGGATTCCCCCACCCCCAGCCCCAGCTCCTGTCTCAGGGACCAGAGTAACCTCCGGCTTCCTTCACGCATCTGTTCATCTTCATCTGTTTCATTGCTGTCCTCATTAGGGATGGGGACATCTCACTGCAGTTCTGCACTTCAATAATATGCAGCCCCAGACCTTAAAGGTCGGTGGGCTTAGGGAATAAAGCCCTAATTCATGGCCAATGGTGAGCAAGTCCAATCCAATATAACTTGTTATACAACCAACACCTACCTGGAGGACAGACTAATGGCTCTAACCTGGTTTCATCCAGTTCACGTTACCAGTCCAAGAGGCTGCCCTGTGCTTAAGAGCTTCTGGTCATTCTCAGGGTGAGGCCAGGTCATCCCCCAGGTAGTGCTGGGAAGGTGTGTAATCCATGCCTCCCTCTCCACCCAGGGGCCAGGAGCAGCTCTGGGGCCGGTCCTCCCCCTTGGGGACCTGGAGACCTGTCCTCCTCACTTTCTTGGCCAGCTTTTTCAGCATCCACTAGCTCCGAAGTGGGGGGGGAAGGGGGAGCAGAGGATGGGTTAACACAGATGGTGATCACCAGGAGGTCAGGGGAGGTGGGGATGGGAAAAGAGGAAGGTGACTATTAACAGGAAAAGTAGACGACCAGCTAAAGAGTAGGGAACAGCAAGGATTGTGGTGATAACTCAAGGGGCAGGGGAAGAGGGTTACTACAGGAAATATGGGAAGTGGGTGACGCTCGCGCGCGGGGGAGGCAGACTGCAAGCAAGGGAAGGAAGGTATCAAGGAGGGTCACCGCGAAGCGGGGTGACCGGGTGGGGAGGGGCGCATTAACCCGAGGCAGGACACCGCGATGGGGCAGGGAGTAGGAGGAGGGTGATGCCCGGCCGGGGCCGCGAACACTGGCGTGGCGGCGGCGCTCAGCACGCAGCGAGCTCCGGGCGGCTGGGCCCCTTGGCCGGGCCGGGATGCGGGGCGCAGGCAGGCGCCGACGTCTCAGAGCATCCTCAGCGGCCGCGCCGCCGGGCGTGGGGACCGCGGGCCTGCGGCCGCTCGGCCCCCGCCTCCTCCTGGCGTAGCAGGGTCCGCGGGCTGAGCCGCCCTCCCGCCTCGCAGCCCCCAGAGACGCTGCTTACCTGCGCCCCAGCGCGCGGGCGGCAGGGGCCACTCCTGGGGCCGGAGCGACGCCGCCGCCCGAAGGCGCGGACGCGCGGACGCCCCCTGCCCGCGCCACGGAGCCTCCGCCCGGCCGTTGCCCGGCCCACGCCACGGGAGCCCGAGCTGGAGCCGAGGTAGTGCCCCGCCGTTGCCGACGCCGCGCTGCGCTCCGCGGGGCCGCGAGGACTACAACTCCCACTATGCCTTGCGCGGCCAGGACGGTGTGGGCGGGGCGGGGCGGGGGTGGCCAGCTAGCTAGGACCCCGATTCCCAACACTGATCTTTGCTGGTCTTGAGCAGGGTCAGCGGAGGGGGGCTCGTGCCTCCCGCTCAGGTGGCTTTTGCTGGAGCTGCCGTGACCCTGTGCAGCAAGACGTACGGTCCGCCCAATCCGAATTCAGTAATTCATTCAGTTCAGCGTGTTTTAATTCATTCGTTCCTTCTCTCCCTCTGCCCCTCTTTCTGGCTCTCTGAGTCTCTCCCTCCTACATTTCCTCTTTTCATTCTCTTTCACTTTCTCTCTTCTTTCCTCTCACTTCGTCCCGCCCTAACATCCTCCTTTCTTTATCGATTGATTCAGTATAGACTTCTGAGGCCTCTTGGGCACTGGGAATGAAACCGCGAATTAAACAGCGTCCTTAGTCTCACGGAAAACTCAGTGGCCCAATACGAATAATGAATAATGATGCGGCAGCCTCTCTGTGCCTGGCCCTGTGCTCTGTGGGGGCGTTTTGGATAGGACCACTGCGGGCAGGGAGTCGCTGTCCAGCCAGGAATAGATGCCCAAGTAATCACAGGTGCAAATCCACAATTACTAGAAGAGAAAGAAAGGGACGCGGGGGCGGGGGAAAGTGTGTAACCAAGGGGACCTCATGAGGGCGTGGAGGCCTCTCTGAGGAAGTGATGTTTGAGCTAAGGCCCCTGGGAGAAAAATAAGCTAACAGTGGCCATGGGACCTGGGAAGTGCCCCGGTGGAACGTTGCATGGGCAGGTTCTGGGAGGGCGGAGTGGGGCAGCGGGCCCACAGCCCATCTGTTCCTGTTCCACAAGCCACTTGTTACGTTCCCAGAATCCACCTGGTCCCTGTACCAGAATCCATCTGGTCCCTGTCCTAAGAACCACCTCTACCAGGTCCTTGAATCCAGCTCACTCCATTGCAGAATGCACTTCTACCATAACCCCAAACCACCTCTATGATGTCCCGGAATCCACGCCTCACCACTGTCCCAGATCCTATCTCTATTGTGGCGCAGAATCCACATCGACTGCGGTCCAGAGTCCACCTGCTCCATGACTTCATCCCTTTTCTCAACCCAAAGGGGAAAGAACTCTGCTTCTCTTTTATTCTACCAAAATAAGCCAAAATGCATACAATACATTGGGAAACCATAAAATGCACCCGGATTTGCTCAAAGTGTGGGTAATCAACAGGCATCAGATTTAGAAACATTAAACAAACTCTTTTCACTGCCAGCCACGGTGTGGTTGAGCCTGGGTGGGGCGGAGAAGGGGGCAGGGCATTTGGCCCACTTCCCAATCAGCAAGTTGCTCTAACTCAGACTCCTCCAAAGGTGCTCCTACAGCCAGCCACAGCATCACACTGACAGGGAGGAAGAAGGAAAACATTCTTCATATCGTTACAAATGTGTGTTCTGTTCCTGGGCCATGCCATCTGTAGTACATTATGAATTAATATTGTCTATAAATCCTGTAATTATCTTTGGCCAGTGCAAATTATATTGCTCTGTACTTCTTAAGAGTATTTATTTGTTCAGTGGCAATATTACCACGCACATGTTTTGCTAAGCTTGCTTGTCGTTTCTTCCTCTGGGAGACCCTGGGAGGTGAGCCCCCGCAGAGGAGCGTATGGGTGAGCAATCCAGATAAATTATCGCTGCACTAATGGAGGAGTTGAGATAAGGGCCAAGTGCATCTAAATTGTCTGCCTTCAGCTTGGCTGCCACCCGCGTCCTCCCGCCCTCACTGCCTTCCCCCGGGCAGTCATTCCGACCTACTCCGAGGCTGCACAGCCTATCATTATGCCATCTTCTACCCTCGTGGGGGCCACCTACTTTCTTCCTCCTACAGATGGAGTCACTGGGGGTCCAGAGAAAACATGTCTTGCTCAATCAAACCCACAGCAAGTCAGTAGGCAAGTGCTGGGTTGGTGCATTAAAGAACCTGGTATAACCACTTCATAGAGCGATTTGGTGGTATTTGTTATGACAACACCGAGTGTGTATACCCTAAGAACCAACTATTTCACTACTCTAAAGCTACCCTAGAGAAATTCTGGGGTAGATGAAAGCATACTTATGTCTTGATTTTATACAATCCTGTGCAGCTCATCCACAATTGTTAACAGAGAGGAGCTAGGTGCATGTGTAAAAATACGGATAAAGCTCCTAACCAAATAATAAAACACAATGCAAGCAGAATTATTTTTGCGGTATGATTTCAACTACATGACACACACATACACAACACAATATGTAACTCTGTAGTCGCGGTGGATATAAATGCAAGTATGTGCATGTTTATCTTTATGAAAAAGCAGGAGAAAAGCACTAGGAGAATGCACTAGCATGTTCTCTTTCTTAAATCTTAAAACATCGCGGTGTTTGCAGATGTCACGGCTGTCCTTCCGGAGAGACGCCGCTTCAGGAGCTGTCACCTCAGGAGGGGTCAAGAGGATGGAGGACTGGGCACAGCAGACAAAACAAACTGGCGTAATCTGTCACGCTCTCATTGGATTTAACGTGTTCAAGAGATTTAAATGCTCCTGGAACAGGACACCTAAAGGACCAACGAGTTACTAGGGCTACCTCTGTCCCCATCCCCTTCCTTGAGACAGTCGTTGTAACCAATTTCTTATGCATCTGTCCAGGAAACTGCTACGCATTTGTACACACACAGAAGGATCTTAACTTTTAAAAAGGAAATATTAGTATGTCTTCAGTGACATTAAAAATGGATTTAAAAGTCCATTAAAATTACCTTTCAAGAATGAAGTGTTGTTTCATGCTGGAAACTCATTTGGCAGAACTCATCACAGGAACAACGGGAAAGACAAAGAACTACACCATCATCTCAGAGAGGCAGGAAAAACCATTTGACAAAATCCAACATCCGTCCGTGATTAAAAACTCCCAGCAAAGTAGGAACAGAAGGGAACTCTGTCAATCTGATAAGGGGCATTTATGAAAAACCCGCAGCCAACATCCTATACAATGGTTAGCGACTGAGTGCCTTTCCTCAAAGCCTGGGACCCAGACAAGGATGTTTGCTGTCCCCGCTCCTGCTGAGAGCTGGGCTGACACCCTGACCAATGCAGCAAGGCAAGAAAATGAAATGAGAGGCATTTGGAACGGTAAGAGAAAAAACTATTCCTAGTAGCAACAAAACTGCACAGAACTCACAAATGAATTTAACTCCAATGGAGAAGATGAAAGAAAAGTGAAACAATATCATTGAAGGGCACAGAATAATTTGTGGGTAATGACAATGGACGCAAAACTTCAACAGGCGAAAAGACAACATCGCAAATAAGTCAGTTTCCCTGAATGACTTATGACATTTAAATCAATTTTTAGGACAATCTGGTGTTTTTAGTGAAACATACAAATAAATTGATCATACAATTTATGCAGAAAAGCAACGGGCCAAGAAAATGAAGGACAAAAATGAAACTACCTAATAAAAGAGGAGCAACGGATAAGAGCAGGTCATTCGGACAGGGGAAACACACATACACACGTAAGAAAGCGTGCCACACTGTCCGTCATCCACGGGAGGGCTCTCGGGTTGTTTCCATCCTGCTCAGCGGAAGGAGAAGACGCAGTACCGCCATTTACGGCAACAGGGGTGCATCTTGACAATATCATTCTAAGCAAAGTAAGTCCGATGGAAAAGGCAAGAACCATAGGATTTTACCCACGTGTGGGATATAAAACAGAAAGCAATAAACAAACCAAAGAAGCAAACACACAACTCACAGACAGGCAGAGGGAAAGGGGGCTGGGGAGGTAGAAGAGGGTAAGGAGGACTGGATATATGATGACGGAAGGAGACTTGACTTTGGGTGGTGAACACACAGTGCAATATACAGATGGTGGATTAAAACTTACCTAATCTTATTAACCAGTGTCACCCCAATAAATAAAAATAAAACCACAAGACATTTTGCATTCATCACGTTGGCAAAAATTAAAAAGCCTGTTGTTGATGCTAAAAGATGGCACGCTGCGGGTGAAGTGTAAATTCACATGACCAATCTGGCCGCCTGGCAAAGCTGAAGGGGTGCGCACCCCCTGTTCCGCTTCCTGGTCTATGCTCTAGAGCCCTGAACTTCACACCGGGAGTCCCGCTGACACTTGTAGTATTGGCAGAGTGAGTCGTGACCACAATTTAAAACAACAAAATAGCCCTGCCCGGGTAGCTCAGTTGGTTGGAGTGCCGTCCCATACACCAAAATGCTGTGGGTTTGATCCCTGGTCAGGGCGCATACTAGGTTGTGGGTTTGGTCCCCGGTGGGGTGTGGACAGGAGGCAACTGATCGGTGTTTCTCTCTCTCTCTCTCCCTCTCTCTAAAAAATCAATAAATATATCCTCGGGTAAGAATTAAAAAAATACACACACAAAGCAATGCAATAGAACAAATCACAGTAGAAATATGGGAGTGTTTCTGCATGTGTCCTAAGAGAACTCTGTGTGTGTGTGTTGCACTAGGCCCCAGTGTAAACACGCATCTCAGACAGTGGGTGGCAGTCGGTAAGTGTGAAAGCCTTTGTCCCAGAAGAGTTCACAGAATGGGACATGCACAAGAATGAATTGCAACATTCTGTGAAAAATTGGAGGCAATGAATATTCATCCGGAAGAGGATAAATTCATGCAGATACATGTGTTAAAGTGCATGAGCCACAGCGAAATGTTTCCATGTGGATAATTCTCCAAAATACAGTGTTGTGCTGGAAGAGCAGACTGCAGACTGGCATGTATAGAATAGTATTGATAAAAGTGACAACTCACATAGACAATGCAGCACACTATTCAGGGAAATATGTATATACTCAGGGGAAATGTATATATTAAGTGTATTAATATATGTGTTAATAGTAAAGATTTTACATGGGGATTATTAATACAAATTTAGGATAGTGGTTATTTCTGGGGC